GTACTTAACATAACCCACTTACTTTTGAATATTTTATTAAACGCCATTTAATTACAGAACAAATAAAGTACGACGTCCTAGAATCCTCAATCTGAATGTTTGAATCACTTTTGAATATGTTAATGTCTCATTTCTCTTTAATTGTATATACTCTGTAGATAATTAATATTAATGACGTGCCCTTAAGTATACTTATGATAAATTTATGTCAGTCTAGACTTATATAGATAAAAAATTATGTTTGTACATCGTATGTTTGTCCCATATGTGTTCCATTTGTTGGTCATTGAAAACAACTTTTTTTCAATTCACTCTCATTTTGTGACCATACAGGCTTATTAGTAAAATGTTAACAACCTCGTAGGATTGATTATATTACTAATAACATAAACGACGTTTGTTCCATGACTTTATGATACGTAATAAATTTACCAAAATTAATTTTTTAAGTTTTTGTTGTAGGTACTGTTTGACATAATATAGGTCTATATTTTGGTAGTAAGAAGGTAGTTCCAGCGTTTCCTGTGTTTTGTTTCATGCTGGTATTTGGGTGATTTTTAGGTTAGTTTTCTCTACCTAATTTCGGTGGCAATTTTTGTTATTTAAATATTGTAGGATATTATCTTGAAATATTAATTAATATTCACGTGTAATATCCCGAAATATTAAATAATATTTCACGATAATATACTCAAATACTTAAATAATAAAAATTGCGAAATTACTTAGAGAAAACAAACTTGAAACACCATTTACGCTAGCTTGTTACCGCACAAAGTTATCACCCGTTAACAGCGATCTAATTAAATAAAACATTCGAAAATCACATATTTGAAATTAAAATCTGAAGATTTATTAATAAGTCGTGGAATAAAAGTTCTTGTTTATGATGTTAGTAATATAATCCTGCGAAGTTGCTAATATTTTACAAATCAGGCTTTATTTATTTTTTATTTACTAACCTTTTCTGCTTTATTTACATTATAGGAATATTCACTCATTAGTTACTATTGTAGTTACACCTAAAGATGGGTATTGAAATGTCGTTAATAAAGTTGAACGCACTTACGTCTATTATTTTACACAATAATGCCAACATTTTATTAATAAGATTTTGGTTACTTAAATGGAAGCCAAAATAACTTTATTAGAAGTCAAAATAACTTTATACAAGGCATATTGTCAATCATTCTATATACACGGGTGGTCTGTGGGTTAACTATACGCAGAAGACACTCGGCGCCCTGCTCGTTCAATATAATAACGGTTTCAGGATGCTGTTGGCACACCCCGGACACTCCACACAACGGTCCAAAGTTATTTACCTACTACTACTACAAACAGCAAGACGCTATCTGTACACGCGCAAATGTGTGCGTGAAGTGGCAGGGTTACCCATCACTTTCTCATACTTACTACGTTACATAATCAGAGCGGCAACATAGCGAAAATTCTACCTCGAATCTGTTATCTTTAATTCTATTAATAGAATTCTAATAATTACACATGTGTATTAGGTATTTATATCGATATAATATTATATTTTTCATTAATTCACTAACTAGAATAATATTGAAAAATTATTTAAAAAATATATTAAAAGCACTTAAAATGTTATATTTTGGACAGGTACCTTTAAATAAGGTAATCAAAGTATTTGAAATTGCGTGTCCAAGTTTATCATTACATAATTAATAATTAGGTATATTCACTACGTAATATTTCTCTCTGTATTTACTAACAATAGTCATAAGTTAAAATTGTCTGTATTTACTAAAAAAAAGTGGGCTTCCATGCCAAATAAATTATTTATTTATTGTTATTATTATTATTTAATTATTATACTATAATTAAACCTATTCAATATTCGTAGCGTACACATGTTATATTTATTAATAAGTAAGTACATTTTTTCGTAATCAATTTTTAAATATCTGTAAAACGATAAATCAAAATGACATAAACAATAATTGTAACTTTTTCATTGAAAAAAAAACCGACTTCAAGTTTGCTTATCGGCTTTTTTCGATTTCCAGGGGATCCCCCTTAGAGAATGAAAAAAAGTCTAAGGGATCCCCTCATCAGATTCTGATTTATTGATGATAATGAGACTGTTACGGACGCTTTTGTATATTTTGTATTTTCTTTTCTGGTTGTCATGGCGACGGTAATTTGTTGATTACACGTATTGTGTCAAGTAAAAAGTCGACTTTTATTTGCGGAAAATAATTAGTAATTTGTGATAGCCGAAACGAACTCGGAACAGCATCAGAGACCACCTCGAGAGTCCCTTTGAAACAAAAAAAGAATTTTCAAAATCAGTCCACAATTGACGGAGATATCTGAAAACATACATACAGCCGAACGCATAACCTCCTCCTTTTTTTAAAGTCGGTTAATAAAATGAAACTAATTGAAGGTTTTGACTATTTTACTTACCTTAATTAGAACCCTTTGCAACATTGTATAGATATGCCATATCAACAACTGTAATGTTCGGGGTTTCGGCGAGAGGTTCACAACCAACAGACAGCGTTTTCACAAGTAATTATTTATTACGAGTACTACAATATAAACTTACGTACGACTAGACTATTTGGTATACTAAAGTTAACTGTGTCATCCTAACAAGGAGAGGGCCCTTTTATATCGTTACCAAATCCTGAGTGAGATTATAGTACACATTTCGAGAATGTTCTTGAGAGAAAACAATATCATTAACTAATTTGTATACATATAGATTACTAAGTTGTGAACTGTCAATAGTCCTTACATGATGAGAATGGTAAACAACTAATGTTTGTTTGTACAATAATCTAAAATATTCCTACGTACATTACACAACTACTGTTTGTGCGGTCTATGCCCGCTAGTTCAGTTGACTGAACTAATGAGGTTTTTTCCTCATTATTCAGTTGAAAATCTTTTGCCCCTGGTTTAGTTGTCCCGAGTCCAGAATAATGGGCCCATGTTGGTGAGAGGACAAGCAAACAGCAAATTACTCATCGCGCCAGCATCGGGTCACTACGATGGTACTACGAATCTGGTAGGGTATCAAGCACATAGTTAAATGAAGAAATGAGGACCAAAATTTCATTAGTTCAGACAACTGAACAAAAGGGTAAAAAATCTCATTGGTTCAGGCAACTGAACTGGACAACTGAACTAGTGGGAATAGACGGTTTAAGCGGCTAAGAATTTTGACGGCACTGTAGTATAGGGTCAACAGGCTATATATATCTAAATGTCTGTGGGCCAAGAGCTCGTCGACGTTGACACTTACAGTTTAAGAACTATAAAACTTCACAGTTTGGGTAATTCTTATTCGAGCGAAATTTAATTTCTGAATTACAATATAAACTTCACAGCATGAAAAAGTGTAAGACATTATATTAAGATCGTAAAAGAAAAGAAATACGACTTTTTTTATAAGCATTTTCACTTTTTAAACTTATTAAACGGAACGAGGTGTGAACCCAGCAAATAAAAAGAAGAACATCGGCAAAGAATGTCGTCTGTTTCGATATCTCCAATGAACACTACGCCATTTTATTTTTTAGTCATTTTCTGTCATTTTTGTAAGCCGCCATTAGTATTTATTTAGTAATATTAGCTCCCCAAATTTTGTGAAACAAAAAATAAAGAAACAAAAAACAAAATCCGAAAAAACAACGAATTTTGTGAAAAAAAACAAAAACTAAATAAAAACAGAACAAGTCCAAAAATTAAGTTATGGTTGGAGTAGTGTTCTTTCGAGGTATCGATTTATCTACTTACGGAACAACATAAAGATTAAGAAACACTTGTACTCGTACGGTGCTTAATACAGGAAACTTTGTGTTAAACAATTTCTTAAATTTTTTACTTAGGTATTGCTATTTACAGAAGAGATTGCGTATATGAACCTCAACAAAGACAATTTACAATCAAATATTGCACACAATGATGAGAGTGGGAGCAGTCTCCATTATGTAAGTAGGGACCTATTGTCCATAATGGAAAATTTAATCTTACATCATCATTATTTAAAAGATTTTTGATGGTTAACTAAGCTGGGTATTACGAGCATGAAGCTGGGTTTACATGATTAGTAGTAAAGCGATTTTTTCTTTTTTTTTACACACACACTTATAGTCCCACAACTCAGTCCCACACTAGGGAACCCTGTATGCCTTAGACACACACATAAGTAGAGGAGGTAGGTAGTAAGTTGTGGTAAATTACACACAAACTTACGAGAGAAATAAATGTAGACTACCTTTACAAATATTTCTCCCGGCCCGGGAATCGAACCCAGGACCTCTGCGTGGCAGTCCAGCTGGTAACGGTTCGGTCGCAGAGACAGTTCAAATTTTTCGATAAGTGGCAAAGTTTTGATATTCGCATAAAGTATATAAAATCTACTTATATACCGAATGAATTCATTACATAATTATATACCATAATATGAGCAAAGTAGTGCGTGTTCCACGCCTCTAACCATCGGGGCGCTTATGAAGGTCAACATACGCCACTGGATCTAAACAATGATATTGTCAATAAAAAGGTATTCATTAACGAAAACGCTGCTGTAGTTATGGAAGCTATTGTAAATTTCTGACGCAGGAAATCAATATTTTATGACTAAACAATCAAAATACCTTCATGCTCCACTTTCAATTAACGTTCCAAACATAAATCAATCAAACAGTCTGGACGGTAATGAGCACAATCGAATTTACTACTGAGCTTTAACGAAGCGTTATAAAAGTTTCCGATAGAACGCCAAAAATCGGTTTTGCAAGAACAGCTGTAAACCATCCTCTAGCGGCAGTGGCGAACTAAAACACCAATGTTTTTATCGAAAGGAATTCCAAAAAAAGCAAGCAGGCAATTGTTTTGACATTGCTCGAGGGATCAACTGAGTCGAGTTGTGCATTCCGCTAACCGAGATACGAAGCGATACAACTGAGTCATCTTTCGTCAGCCGGCTCGTCGTGTGCCGTGGAATTCTCAGGGCCGCCAGTTCGCGTGCACCGGTGCTTGAGCGCGGTCAAACTCGACGGTACTACTCAGACTATCTCGGCTATTATCGTTCTGCCCACTCAATTCGATTGATAAGCCGGCAAAGTACCTTGGCTATCGGCTGGCGTCAGACGTGCCTCAATCTGAAATTAGATAAGTTGGTTTTGGATTTGAATTTCGACTTGTGAATTCGGTCGAATTCGCATTTTTCAAATTACACTTGTAAATTACTTGTGACGGATGAGTGAAGTTTCGCTATCGAAGTTTTTGTGGGAGAGAGGAGCCATGGAGAGCTGCTATAAGCTATACACCTGGATCAACCATACGCTGTTGATGCTTCTGCTGCAGATTTTTTGGAAAATGAGCCAAATCTCCGACTTTTTTAAGGAAAAGTGAGTATTTTTGTTCAGTTTATTGTGTTGTGCCGTCCGTTATAAAGGATTTGATTATAATTTCAATTTGTTGCATGTCTGTATTTTTCACTTCTTTGAACAATGTGGTGAAAGATGAAACAAAATTAATAATGTGTTTATTAAACATACAATACCAAAAATACAGTTTTGCAATATCACATATTATACAATTCTTTATAGCGAACCTTTGGACTTGGTTATTGAATCTATAACAGTTTTTTAGTACTCATGCCCAAACTATCTCCGAATCGGGGCAAGGATTAGAATATCTCTTCTGGGTTCTTGTCTGGGTGTTCTGAAAAATGCCATGGAGTGAATCCCGTTGTTCTAGTACTCATACTGTATAGAGAATTTCTTAGTTTGAGATAATGTAATTGGTATGATTGTCTGCAAAATTATTATTATTAGTATCTTATACATTAAGTACGTAATTTTCATGATTTTTCTCTATATGCATCAACAATTAATAATTTAAAGAATTTCACTATACTTATGCCCATGACTATTATTCTTTATATATATTACGTACTAAGCCTATTATTTTTTTCTAATTCAAATACCTAAAGGTAATGATCAAGTTACAGCAAGTGCAAGCAGATAATATGCTTACAACAAACCAGCGATAATATATATATTTGTCGCTATGAACTTAAGGCAGGTCATGTATTCGACGTTTTTAATATGTTAATGTTTCTTCCGTTTTGAAATTTCATAAATAGCAAATGGGTATTTCCTCCAAAAATGTAACCTAGTCGCAAAATATTTTATTTAATTTCGTAGCGAGACGTGCCGTATGACCATAATATGTAAGTTTTTTATTGCGTATCAGTGTATATGTGGATATACTCTATAAGCTTACCAAGCTGTATCCCATAGGTCCTATCTACACAGAAGGGACCGAATAGTAGACATGCGTGTTTAGAGTTTTGAGTATTGCAGCTCAAGGTCAATTATCAACAAAGCCTGTGCTCCTAAAACAGTATTGTTTGCAAGCGAAGACTATTGCTATCCCCATCCCTTATTTTATTGATCCTTTTTTGTGAAACCCCTTTGTTTATAATAAAAATATGATCCTCTAAACGCCATTGATTGAAGAACCGGTGGCCGATACTGACCGCCCCGTTTCCTGCAACCAAAAAAAAAATCTTAAGGGCGCGTTCCCACTATGTCGTGACGACAGATAGTCGTGCAGTTTAAAGTATCGTGGCTATGTTGAGCGTGTGTGTGTTATTATTATTATTATTATTATGTTTATTTAAATGAAGTTGTTCATATATAGTAAAACATGATTGACTGTCGTTCACGGCGTTTTTGACGTTACGACGACAGACTGTCGTAATAATGGGGAAAAAAAACTAGAACGACAGTCGTCGACGGTAAATAAAACGTCACGATAAAAATGTGACGATAGATAATCGCAGTTTGAAACGATTATGTCATGCAAACGACGAGGCTACTGCCGTGAACCGATAAATTGTCGTCACGATCTAATGGGAAGCTAGACACGACAGTCGTTCAACGATAAAATAAACGTCCACGATGCAGTCACGACAGATAGTCGTGATATGGGAACAGGCCAGACGCGACAGTCGTCCAACGATACATAAAACGTTACGACATAATGGGAACTACTGCTACACGCCTATTCATAATAGTTACAGTGCCACTTAGAGCTTTGAATTGCGAAAGATCTGAGGGGCACAATCACTTTGTCAGTTGCCCTGAGATGTAAGTTGACAAGTTCCACGTGCCTGTAATTTCACCAGCACCCTTACCCTTCAAAACCGGAGTACAGTAATGCTGACATTCTTGCTTAGCGAAAGAAATAGGTAAGGTGGCAGTACTACCCTAGACGAACTCTTTCACAAGGAGCTCTACTGCTACTAAAAATATACGTAGCATATACGTAGGTACCATCGAATATATAACCTGAAATAGGGACGAAATGTCATCGTAATTTGTTTGAAAACTATTCTGCCAAATCATTACGGTGACAACTGACTGTGAATTGACGGGTGTCGTCAATTGTATCACTTCAAATCGACCAGTTTAACTTGAGCTTTGCTATAATGAACGAAAATTGAAAAATTTTAATTGTCAATGAAAGTGATTCCGTTTTTTTGTAATTAGGTGTTTTGCTGTTTTTCTCACACCACCGAATGGAACACCCTCCCACAGTTAGATATATTATCTTTATTACGATAAATACGGAATATTTTTGGAATATACGGAGACGTACACATAGGTCAGTTGTTAGCGCTGTACTAATTTAGTTTTCTAATTTGTGATTTCAGTGCAAATGAGAGTTGGTATTTAGAAGTGATATAAGGCCCACTTGACTGGTGAGTTGCCAGGGGTGGATGGCCCTTATTTCGTCTATATTTCTGGTTATAATACTCCATGCTAGGTACCTACGAATCCATAGTTACAGTTATACAAATTTATTATTATTATTACTTATACAAACGTTATTATTGTATTTAACTTTTTTTTTACAAAAACTATCTTATTCTCATGACATTAGGAAATTAATAATTTTTGTTATTTAATATTTTAAAATACAACAGTATCAAAAATCATAACTGAAATTAAATTAAATTAAATTTAAATAATTTATTTAGTATTAATATATTCATTTTAAATAGGTAATTGTTTGTGTGGCACTCGCATATTATAAAGATGTATGTACCTACCTACTTTGAGGAAATATTTACTTAGGCGTACAAACATCCACTTTATTAAGGATGTTCTTAGAAAATTTTACATTAAAAGTGCCTGAAGCATAAGTTACAAGGAGGGTTCGAACTTATCGAGATATTTATTGTTCTTGACAATTATCCGATATGTATTTCATAATGGGACGTAATTAAACAAAAAGGATCCAATGCACATCCAATCGCTTTCGAGATGTGGCAGTTTGAAGTTTAAAAGTGTTTCTCACTCTTGTTTTATTTTCAAAACTTATAATGCATGTAACTCCAGAGATATTTATTTATGTTTATATGTTGGATTTCTTTTGCTGATCTAAGAGGTTAGACTTTAGGAACCGTTTGGTACATATAACTCATTTTTTGATAATTTTGTGGATTGGATCCTTTTTGCTTAACTACGTCCAATTATCCATGCTGATTTATGACTCAAAATGACAAACAGTGAGAAAACTAAATAAACACGAAGAATGTCTTTGAGAAAACGTTTTAATTGAGGCGAGCTTGGCTAATTTCGGGGCCATATAAAGGGTGTCGACTGTCACTCTCTTGTTTGTGCTTCTCCGCGGAGCATGCTACATCCTGACGCACGTATGGTGATGCAATACCTGCTAGAGGATATACCATATTGAAGGGAGTTGGCTTGAGATAGCCGGTGATCAGGCGTACTGTTTCATTAAGCTCTACATCAACAAGCCTAGTATGTGCAAACCTATTTCACAGTGTGGAAAACCTTTTTTTCTGCCAATTTTCATTTGGAGACGGAAATATGATGGTTATAAACGTTATATGTAGACATACATATAGATTTACTAAGGGCACAGCACTGAATGCTCAATAAACAAGGTCCTGTTTACCAATTTCATTGCTGCACACGCCGTGACTATATGACTTGACTATGACTTTGGTGACTATATACGACTTGGATAACCTCGTATTCATGAAGAAGTATTGTTTTCCTTATTAAACACATTAAAAGTTAAAAGTTTATCAGTTGTCCGGTTATTTACTGACTACACAAAATTAATATTTTATAAATTATTTAAAGTCATACATAATAATAATATAATATTTTAATAATAATACGAAATTTATTGCTTCTTTACAATATTTTCTTAAAATCTAATTTAAGCAAATATAAAAAAAAATAATTTGAGACAAAAAGGCAGAGGACGCTCAGCTTATGATGGCACCAATGATATGCTGACACGGTGATGAGCCCGCGCAGCGCTGCATTTTAGCTTCTCCCTAATCCCTATGGACTAAAGTGGGAGTGATGTCAACGAGGGCTGATGACTCCCTTATAATTTAAGAATAGACATGAAAAATTTAATTAAATTATTAATTATGACAGGAAATTTAAACAACAAATACATACTCATAGCCACGCACTAGGAAATCGCGCATGCTATGGATACACATATAGACAGCCACAAATTACAAACAACTCGCGAGATAAATAAATGAAGGCCATACAAATATTCTCCCACAGCCCGGGAATGAACTTTCTGTTCTATTCTAATCCACTTGTCATCGAACCCAGGACCTCTGCGTGCCAGTCCAGCACGTTAATCGATCGGCCACGGAGGCAGTTTATATATTAACATAGCACTTATAACAAAAACAAAATTCTACACTGACATTTCTTGCTTCCATCGATTACGTCCTAGAACTTGTAAACTTAAGAATTAACTGTTTGATTAACTCAAGTTTGTTTAATTCACTTTTGTTTAACTCAAGAGGACCTGCTAATCTCTCTAGGATTGTAACACTGAAAAAGGTCAAAATTTCGTCTAGTTTATATTATGTCAATGGCTGTCAATATGTGGATATCAATTAATTGAAATATAAGAACTCTGTTTTTTTCCTTGTAATAATATTTAAATATTGATTATGAGCTAAACTTCTTTTGTGAACTTGACAAATGTGCGTATCTATTTATTTATTTATTTATTTCCAAGTTGCACATGTACATAAAAAAGGTCTTATAATAAAATTTTGTATGGTACATGACCCCGTCAGGGTGTAGCAAGGAGACTTAAAACTAACTATTAAATTAAATTAAATTATTATACTTCACACTTAATTATTAAAGACGTGAGCTTTCCGTGAGTTATTTTCTGATAAAAATTCATTTATAGAGTAGTATGCTTTTTGGACGAGATACTGTTTAAGTTTGTTTTTAAAAGTGTTTATATTATTTTCTTTTTTAATTAATATTGGAATTTTATTATATATTAAAATAGATCTATACAATGGGCTGTTTCTGTA